TGGTGCAAACTGTTAGGGGCTTCTGCCTGACCTTGAGGAATTATTTTGAAAATGCAGGCGACCAGATATGCATCTTGCACAGTTCTCACCCGTGCAATAGGAATTTTGTCTAAATTTTGTCTTTTCTCTGTCTGCCCTTGGCTTCTGTTGAGGCAGGGGAAAGTAAAGGGGTGTTTAGCATGGTCATGGGATGGAATACAGGTGAATTAAAAGAATAATTCCTGCAGGGTGCAAGTCAACACTGTTCTGTAGTAACTGATGAAAATTTATCCCTTTGCACCAGCTGAGCATCTGAAATACAGAAACACTTTGAAAAGTATTGATCAAAATTGATAAAAATTGATAAGAAAGTACTAAAAACAATGGGAAAAAAAGCCATTGAAAAGAAAATTTGAAGCAATCCCATCTCTCCACCAGCAGCCCCAGACACCAAACCTGGGGCCTCTCCTTTGAGGATTTCAGCCTCAGCCATTCCCTTACAACAACCTGCACTAAGAGATGTTGGAGAGATTCAGAGCAAATTCCCTCCTTTCTTGGAAGAGTTCACCTCAGAGAGCAAGCTACATGTCTCCAAAGAATTCTGCATGATGGAAGAGGACTTGCCAGACTGTGGAAAATCCTGGAATCCCCAGCACATAAAACCCAAATGGTTGTGGGGTGAGGGTTTTGCCTGAAGTCATGCTGGAAATTAAAGCTCTTGGTCTCTTGACAACTCTCTGTCATTAATTGCAAGTTTGTTGCAGGAGGTGCACCTATGGCAAAGACCCTTTGGGGCTTTTAGTCTGGTCAGAAAGACTTCCTTAAATTCAACTTCACGTTTCTTTTAATCCCTGTTTTGAGTGATGCTGATGTGGTTTCCTTACTGCTGCATGCAACCTGGCTGAGCTCCACACTGTGTGCCCCTGAAAGTGGCAGCTGCTTATCCCTTCAGATGCCTGACTTGTTTTCCCTCTATTTTAGGTGATTTCCAATAACTTTTAATGTTGAGGTGCATCTGTGTCAAGTGGAAAATGAGCTGTTTGTCTCTCTCCCCTTGCTCCTAGTGAAAAGGTTTAGAGGCACATTAGGTTTTCAGTCTCTTTATTCTGTGGCTAAACATTTCCTTCAATGCTATCAGCAAGTTTCAGCATTAAAAAGGAGATTTTTGGCTTTTGGAATTAAGCCAGAAAGTGTGGCCAGAATTTAAAGCACCCCCTGATGCGTTTTGTTAACACTAATAAGAGATTCAAAATGCTTGGAAAAAGCTCTAGACGATGAAAGTTTAATATTTCAGCAGTCTGCATGCAGCTGCTATTCTGAACCTCAAGCAGCCTCCTCCAGCTCAATATAGTCAAAATCCATTAATCTAAATTATGATTTTAAAGGGCAGGAGCCCAGATGTGCGTAATTGTTTCTTACTGTTGCCATATGTGGAGCAGGGCTCTGAAGTCACAGTGGTAACGCAGCTGTGGGTTTGCAGCCTCTGGCTGTCCTTTTCCTGCCCATCACTCTGTGCCTGCTGCTTTCATCAGGCTCACCTGGGTCACCTCACAAAGCAGGGAAAATTACTCAAATCCAGGCCTGTCCTTTGAAATCCCTGCTTGTGTTTAGGCAGGGCTCTCTGCTATATCCTGGTCACTTGCAAGCAAGAGTTTTGCTAGAGGGGGACAGAGCTTGAGGTCTGGCCCAGTGGGAACCACAAACATTTGTTTGCCCATCTGACCATCACTCTCTCTTGGAGAGGCTTCTCTTGGCTCTGGAAGTTGTGCAGCAGGATGAAACCTTTTTCTCCAAACCACACAGTTTGCCAGAAACAGCTTTTCTTCCTTTTAGGAAGGAGAAAAACCAGGGTTATGCCCCGGTTTGTGTCAGGGGCTGCAATTTTAATCCTGGCACGGCAGAGTTCGGAAAGAGACCCGGTTTTTGAGATGTCCACACTTTGCAGCCACCCACGTTCTCCTGACCTCTTCAAAATGCCCAACTCTCACGTTCCCCACTTCACAGAGTCCCAGGTGGAAATGCATCTGCTGCCTCACCCAGGTCAGACAGCTCCTGTGGTGCAGAGGTGAGCTGGCTGAAGTTGAAGTGACCTGCTAATATCACAACTTACAAAATCCTTTTGGTGCCCCCTCCAATTTTCATGAACTGGTAACGGGTGGCTGCTGAAAGCAAAAAGGATTGCAGGTAAAGAATTGCCCCAGACTCCAGGGAAACTGCTAGGATGTATCCCAGCAGAGGTTTTTGTGAGGAGGAGCAAGCCCAGGGTGTGACGTTGCTCCCACAGCGCTTTTTCCTGGCTGAGCTATACTATCCTGGTCTGTGGAAAAGTAATGGGATGGATTGTAATGTGTTCCCCCTGCTGCCAGGTCACAGACAAGCACGGAGAGGAAGATGATTAAGACTGGTGTTGTTTATGGGTGCCAAGTAACCACAACTCAATAGGAAGCTTAATAAAGACACAGTGAGGCAGACCCTGATGTATGACCCCTTCAGAGCACTTTGACAGCAAGAAAAAGACCCTTGAGGCTGGTGTAAATGTCAGCAGCCCTGTGCCACCTCACCAGTGCTGGCTCTGCACCTGGGACCTCCTACCCAGTGCCTGGCAGTGGGTCCCGGTGTGCCCCAGCAGTGCAGGACAAAGTTCTGTCATATTTGCAACCTCTCCTGCGTGGATGCACGAGCGGGAATGAAAAGCAGTCCATCCTACCCCTCTCCCTGCAAGGAAAGAAGCTTTCCTGGTTGTGCAGTTTTCAGTGCTTTGCCTGGACAGGTTTTGAAAGCTCTAGGCAGTGAGGTGTCCAAGAAGTTAGAGATTGAAATAAATGGGCAGGAGATCTTCCTTTTTAATGCCTTTATTAAGAAGAATCAGCTCAGGTGGGGAGAAATCGACGGGTCGCGCCCACGCCGCCTCTGCTCCCAGGAGTGGCACGGAGGAGGAGGATGATGCAGCTTTGTCTGCTGGTCTGCAGGCACGAGAGATTAGGAGATCCCACCTTTTTGGTCCAACACCTCAGTTCCTCTCTCTAATCAACATCTTTTGAGGTTAGGGTGAGAAGCAAAAAGGATCCAAGCAGGCACTGGACTACGCTCCCATCCTTAGACGTCACCTAGGTCACTCAGTTCTATGCTGGCTCGTAATTTTTAGGGGTTTTCCTGGAAAACTGCAAAACTTGGTGCAATGCATTTCTCATCTGCACACCAGCTCTGATGCCACTCCCATTCTCCTGGTACCTGCAGGATCTCTGACAAGCATCATGGGGACAATGGTTAATCACCGACAATGAACAGGCAATTTAAGAAGAACTCTTAACAATGAAGCTAACTTAACAGCACTGGACTAATGTGTTTTACTCTGCAATCTTAAAAAAAAAAAAGATAACTTTTTATTCATAACAGGGATCAAGAGCTTCAGTTCCCTTCCCCTTCTGGACCCGCTGGGCTGGCCGGGGCATCTCAGGGCAGGTTTTGGGTACATAAAGGTTGGAGGAAGTAGCAGAGAGGAGGGACACTCTCCAATGTAAATTACATGGAAATTAGGCTTCTGCGAGGCCAAAGGCCCCTCCGGAATGGGGCCTTTAGTTAACATAACACTTGTGCTAAATGAAGCGGTTGACACAGCTTTCAGGCTGTAGTGCCACTGTTAATTTACCGTGTGAAAGGGCTGAGCCTTCCTTGGAGTTCCGCGGGGAACAGCTCTGCCCTGGCGGGGACCCGGGGCTCGTTCTCTCCGGAGAGCGACCGCATCACTCCACTGCTGGCTTATCAATATTCATGGGGCGATCCCGTCAGCTGAAACATCCTCAGCGCTGTTAAAAACCCTGTAGGTGAGCGCTGCTCAGTGTTCGGTCTGGGTAGCGGCTGAGCTTTCCTGGCACCTGGCAGAGGGAAGTGCCGGGGTGTGCCTGGAGCTGCTCATCCTGGGTGCAGGAGTTTTCCTGCCCCGTGGAAGCGGGGTGATGAGCTGGGGCTGCTGCTCTTTCCCCACCCCTTGCTCTCCTTTCTGTCCCCAGGATATTTCCTGCTGCTCCAGGGCATAAGCAGGTATCTTGCTAATTTTCTCCCTGTTTGCTCTTAAGTTCACCCAGAGCAAACTCCCAGCAGTTAATGGAGAAGTGGATGGAGGAGCAGAAAGGGTTGGATGGGTCCCAAAGGATCTCTATGGCTGCAGCAAGGCTCGCTGGACTGTGCCCGGGGCAATTTTATGACTATTTTCATAAGAACAAAGAGTGTTTTGGGCTGGAAGGAGCATTTAAAGGCCGCCCAGTCCGAGCACCCTGCACTGAGCAATATTTTCAATTAGATCAGGCTGCTCAGTGTCCCATCCAGAGTGACCTTGAGTGTTTCCAGGGGTGGGCAACCTGTGCCAGTGTTTGACCTATAACTGGATGGTTTTCCCCTTTGTAGGGCAAGGGTGAGGCTGGATGGAGCAGTCCCTGTCCTGGACACAGACACATGGCTGGGGCAGGGTTATTCTGCAGGTTTTGGGTTCTGCACTCACGTGTCACCTTGCTTCCCTCTCGTCCTTGCTCAGGGAGGAAGCTTGGGGGATGCAATGCAGAAGGAAGTCTGTGTTTCACTGACCCCACATCTTAGCCACGGGGGTATGGAGCTGCAGAAGGTGCCAGCTGTGACTCCAGGTGAGAGGGAGCTCCCACCAAAGAAGGGAGGGCAGGATCCCCTTGCCTGCACGTTTTCATCCCCCCAGCTACACCTCGCATTCTGTCAGAGCAGAGCAGGAGCTTCCTCCTGCTTGGGAGTGCAATAAATACCCCCAGCCTGTTCCTGGAGGGCTCTTGAAAGAGCTATCTCTGATTCTCTAAACACTGACAATATCAGAGCTGGATAAATACGTAAAATAAAAAAATATATATAAATAAAAATCTCCCCAAACAGAAGAGGAAAAAGAGGGGAAAATTAGACTATTGCTAGTGCTGGTTCCATCCTTTTCGACAGAGTTCTGGCCAGAGTCACTGAGATAAGTGACTCTGGTAAGGATGGCTCCAGCTACCAGCCCCAGAAAAGGGCAGGGGGCATGCGGTGAGCAGAGCAAAGGCAAGACAGAGAGAGGATCTCCTGGGAGATGCAAAACAAGCTCCCTGGATTGCCAGGACTAGTGGTGACACGCGCCAGACAAAGGAACTGCTACTCTATAAAGGAGGCAGCCGGGACCGGCGCTAGGCTGACTCCAGCAAGAGCAAGCTCCCTGGGCAGGCACTGGAAAAGCAGTCGGGAAAAGAAGCACAGGAAGATTTTGCTGCCTGTTCGCCCCCCGACCAGGTTTCCAGAGGCAGAAGTACCAGAAAAGTAAGTGGCAATGGCCCCTTCCTCTTTACAGCTGTCCTCCCCTCTTTCCCCTTGCAACTTTCTTAGGAAAGCCAAAATTTCCCCTCAGAGCAGGGAATATCCCAAAAGGAAACCATTTCTCTAGTGGCCTTTTGCCAGTTCTCTGGGTTTTTATTTCTTATTGTGGCAATTCGGGTTCCTGTCATCAAAAATTTAAGAGTAAGGCATCTCATCTGACAAACAGCCGCTCACAGGTGGCTGCACTTCATCAAGTGAAGAGACAGTTTGTGCCTGAACTTTCCAAATTCCTAGTCCCCACAGAGACTCTGTGAGCCAGACCTTACCAGAGGAAAATATTGATTGGTTTTACTGCTTTTGAGAGAATTGTTGGCGGAGGAAACGAAAGTGATTTCATAATCACTGTTCTTAACTATTCCTAGATTTTCTTACAGCTGTGTAATTACACATTAGGCAAGCTCATTTATAGCACTGCAGGCTGCTGTAAATCAGAGTTATTGCCCCGGTGCAAAAGGATTACACAGAGTGTCATAGACGCCCTGAGTTCAGCAATAAAACTTAAATGAATTCTCCAATGCTGTTTGAGATTTAAAACAAATTCCTTGCAAAAGCACAAATAATCATGTACTACTTATTTGCTAGACTGCGTGGAAATTCACTGACTGTGTCAACAGGTAAAAGTGTAAGGAATAAGTTTTAAATTCAAATCCTCACATATTTAAAGGTATTCCCATACTTTACTGGTCATCTGTGTGACAGCTGATGCAGATGTAAAACATACAGGCATTTGAATTTTCTGCAGTTCAACAGTGCACTTAGGAGGAAAAACTTATCATTATTTAAAATTTTCACTTTTCCTGTTAAATGTTAGTAGCTCTCAGATTTGTGAAAAAAAAAAAAAAAAAAAAACAAAAAAACCCACAACCTTAATGTCTGGCTGAATTTATAGCAGCAGAGCAGAATTAGGAAGGTTGCAAAGTCTGAAGTGTAGGCAATAGAACCTTATACCTCCTTCTCTCTCTGCCTTAAATTTTTTTCTGAGACACTCTCAGATTTGTGGAAAAAAAAAAAGCTTTTGAAATTGCCAATATAAAACATGTTTCTATTTCCAGGGGTAGCCTTCCGCATAAAACTATTTTTTGAGAAAGTTAATAAACAGCAAAGCATGAGTGTTTTTTGAAGTAGCTGTCTCTATCCTTCCTAATTTCCTTGTAACACTACAGGACAATATTTCATTTTCAGAATCTTTTTCCACCATGCATGTCTACATTATTTCACACAGACACACAAAAAAAAAAAAAAAAAAGGGAAAAAAAAGGCCAAAAAAAAAAAAAACCGAAAAATTAAAAACCAAAAAAAAAAAAAAAAACCTAAAATAAATGCTGCTTGGTTTTACTGCCTGTTTACATAAATCTTTACAGCAGTGATGTGAGCAGGTGATCCAAGAAATTATGTGCTCACAGAGTCAGCATTTTGTTTGGGGGCCACGTCCAGGCATAATAAATATCTGCATTCCCCCTGATGCAAATGTCCTTTGCATTGGCTGGATTTTCCCCTCTGTGCTCCCAGCAAATTCTGCAAGAGCGTGAGCTGCTGCAGACTGCTCTCTGCTGAGCTGTGAGACGTGGAGCATCTTGTCCCACTCCTCACTTGGAGGTGCATGTGGTCTTCCCTACATGCACAGGCAGGGCAAAACAAATGTTTTCTGCTGTTCACAGCTGCCCTCCTGCCTAGCTGGGCCAGAGGGAGGGAGGCAGGAGAAATATCAGTGTGGAACAGGGTTTTGCACACTGGGTCTGAGGAAAAACAAAAAAACCCAAAAAAACCCCCAAAAAAAACCAGGAGGTGGGAGAAATATCAGTGTGGAACAGGGTTTTTGCACACTGGGTCTGAGGAAAAACAAAAAAACCCAAAAAAACCCCAAAAAAAACCAAACCAAAAAACCACCAACAAAAAAAAAACTCCAAAAAACCAAACCAAACCAAACAAAAAAAACCCCCAAAAAACCTAAAAATCAAAAAACCAAAACCCAAAACCAAAACACAACAAACAAACAAAAAACCCCCCCAAAAAAACAAAAAAAAAAAAAAAAAAACCCCAAAAAACCTAAAAATCAAAAAACCAAAACCCAAAAACAAAACACAACAAACAAACAAAAAACCCCCCCAAAAAAACAAACAAAAAAAAAAAAAAAGAGAGAGAGAGAGACCTCAAGAACTCCTGGAACAGAACCCAACTGTTTTTCCTCTCAGTGTTTACCTTAAAACACTGCGAGGATGCCTCTATGTAGTGTTTGGGCTGTTAATTTGGCAGAGAGTGCTGTTAAAGGAAACCCACAGGAACTGTCATTCAGGACAGAGAAGCACTTTTCCAAGAGAGACTCTCAGGTTCTCTGGAACAGAAAATAACACAAGTGCAACTTCAGCAAATACAAGCTAAACCTGGCAGAGTGTTTCTCTCTCAGCTTAGCAAGCTGTCGTGCCCCTGCCAATGCACTGGAACTCCATTTAGCAAAAGCTGTTGCAGCCCATGAGTGGTTCTTTATTTTTTTGGTGCAGAGCTGTGGCATAACTAATCTTTCTGTAAAGAGCCATAAAAAGTATTGAGCAGGAGAGCTACATGAAAAAAAAATAATCCAACAACAACAACCAAAAAACCCCTAAACCCCCAAGAAACCCCACTCTCGTGTGCAGAGTAAACCTTTTATTGAGCCACATCTTTATCACTATTGCCAAGTTCTTGGCCACACACTCTGTGCTCTCCCAAACCCCACCTGGGTGGCAGCCCACTCATGGTTTTGCAGGCCTAGAGGGAAGGATGGCACAGTGTGCAGGCTGTGGAGTCTTTTTTTTTCTCAGAAAGCAGAGAGCTCTTCGCTGCTGAAGACCTGAACCCTCCAGGAGGGCAACTGGAGCACAAAGCTCAGCAGCCCGGGAGCAGCACTGGGTCGGGTGAAAGAGCTGCCCCTTGAAACTGGGGTCATGTGCAGTGTAGTGACCCCAAACACGAAGGAAGACAGTCCTGAGACCTTCACACAGCTGCTTTTGAAGACTCCAGTGATTTCCTTTTTCTAAAGGTTCAGTGAGAGCGCTGTGAGCGGTTCTGTAAACGCTGCCCTCAGACAGGAGGGCTCCCAGGAGCAGAGATTCTGCTATGTGCATTTTTGTCCTAGATTTAAAGGCTCTAAAAAAGGTAAATCAGTGTGCCAGCATGGACTGGTTTTTACAGGGCTTTTGCTGCTCTGCTCTGCTGTGCACCGTGGTGTGATTGTCACACAACACCCCCAGCAGAGGCAGGAGGCAGAGAAAGGAGCCCTTGTTTACTCCTGAAGTAGTTCCTCTTCCCACATCTTATTTGAAATGAAATGAAGTTCACTGGTAGTGTAAGGAATCACCCTGGGGATGCAGGGAAAGGCTCTTCTCATTCATTATACCAGCACTGCAGGGCTGGGCCACCCTGTGCTTGTGTCTGCATGGACGCACAAATTCTCACAAACACTTGACACTTCTTTCCACAAACCTTGCTGAGGTTAATTAGCAGGAGAGTCAGAGGTGCAGGGCAAAAAAAGGAAAAGGAAAAGGAAAAGGAAAAGGAAAAGGAAAAGGAAAAGGAAAAGGAAAAGGAAAAGGAAAAGGAAAAGGAAAAGGAAAAGAAAAAGAAAAAGAAAAAGAAAAAGAAAAAGAAAAAGAAAAAGAAAAAGAAAAAGAAAAAGAAAAAGAAAAAGAAAAAGAAAAAGAAAAAGAAAAAGAAAAAGAAAAAGAAAAAGAAAAAGAAAAAGAAAAAGAAAAAGAAAAAGAAAAAGAAAAAGAAAAAGAAAAAGAAAAAGAAAAAGAAAAAGAAAAAGAAAAAGAAAAAGAAAAAGAAAAAGAAAAAGAAAAAGAAAAAGAAAAAGAAAAAGAAAAAGGGGAGTTTGCCTGAGGCAAGGGGACCACAGAAACACAGATAGGAGTTCAACTCTGTGGTTGCCAGCCCAGCATTCACTCTCAGCACTGAGATCTCTCTGTGTCCTTGCCCACTGATACACCTGTGGGATTTTGGGTGGGAGGCACTTTGGGAAGGGTCAGCACTGAGATGCAGGGAGGCAGCAATGGGGAGAATGAGGAAAGCTGTGGGGAAGAGCCTGTACCTGGTGGTGAGCTGCTCCTCCTGCAATCCATCAAGCTGGGGTGCATTGTCCCCTCTGCCCTTCCTTCCCCTCCCAACTCAAAGAAAGTCCCCGAAATCCAAGCAGCCATGCAGCAAACTGTGCATGGTTAAGCTGCAGGGAGTGAGTTTATTCCTCCTAGGGAATGGGAAAAAGATGAAGTCCCATGTCAGTGACAGGCAGTGTTTTGTCTTGTAACACCCGTGCTCAGTCTTGGCCCCTGCTTGAAGCTGAGTGCCACGCTCTGAGGCTTGTGTGAAACCGGAGAGGGAAACTCTGAACTTCCCCTTTCTCCTCTTGCCCAAATCACAGGGATGCAAAGCCAACAAAGCAAGGAGTGATAGCTGGAGGATCTTTGCTCCCTGGGCCCACAAGCACCTACCTGGGAGAGGAAGCAGAAACCATCTGCTCTTCTGCTGCCGTTTACTTAAGGGCTGGGGGGACTTAACAAAATCCAGCGTGATGTGTTAAATAACCAATTTTAGCAGGCGCTGGGTTTCCCCTGTGGGCTGATGGTGTGGCACCTCACATTTGCTAGAAGCAATCCCGTTCTTGGTGGCAGCAGGCATCTGCTGTCTGATTAAGATTTGCAGGGGCAGGTCTCCAGCGGCCAGTTTCAACATGGATTTAACTTCACCGAGGTCAGAGGTATAACTTGAGGGAGGGACTTTCTCGTCCGAGATCTTTAGTTAATAGCATCCTGCTAATTATGACTGAGCGCCGGCGGGTCCCCTGCCAGCCCTCAGACATGAAGCGCTGGCTCGGGGGCCATTTGCTGGGGAATGTCTGGCAGAAATGTGCTTTGTGCCTAAGCTGCTCTGCTGCTCTGCTGCTGCCTGAATTGCCTGAAAGGCTTTAGCACGGGGAGGCTGCGAGAGCTGCTGCTGCTGGGAGAGATCTTCATCTTTTGTCTGGCGAAACTCGCGGCTGCACTGGAAGCAGCCAGCATTCCGCCCACCACACATTTTTATGTTTTTCCAGTGGGTGGGCGGGGGGTGCAAAGAGCTTCAGTTGTCTCTTTGGTGGGTGGTGGTGCCTTGTTTTTCCTTTGTCTTTTTTTTCTTTTTTCTTTTTTTTTTTCTTTTTTCCCCCCCTATTTCTCGCTGTTGTAGCAGATTTGTTGGGGCTATTTCTTTGCATTGCTGCAGATGGGCACCTTAGCTCATGAAACTCCATTTACATCCTACTTCTGGACACGACTCCTTGGCCTGAGCTAAAGCCTTTCCTCAGTGCAAAATGTTGTCCTTCAAAGCAATTCCTCCAGTGAAAATGGTGTAATCTTCCAGATTTAGGCTGCTGAGAGCAGAATTGATCCTCTTGAATTTAAGTTGCTGTTTTACTGGATTTTGAATTCTCAGCTAAACGTTAATCTGTGGCTAGGGAAGGTCAGCAGAAAGTACAGAGTCCAAACCTGCAGGTTAATGCAACAAATCTACAAGTTATTTGTACAAACAGGTGATTTCTGCACAGATTTAACATAGACCAAGTAGATGACAGGCATTTCACACAGTGAATCAGAGAAAGCTAAAGAATACATTGCTTGGTTGTGCACAATTACCAAAGACCTCAAGTTGCAAATAATGCATTGAAAGACAAGTGTGGCGAGAAGAGTCGGAGAGAAGGAAGGAAAAGAAGGAAGGGAATGAGACAAAAGAAATGGAAATCAGATCCCTTGCTAGCAAACTGGCTGCATTTTAACTAGAAGGTGCTGTGGTCACAGAGAACTCAAGGGATGTGTAGGTGACCAGAGCAAAAAGCTGTGCTGAAACATTTTAATCACTGCAGGATTGGACCAGGGTAATTTCTCTTCTATGTTTCTAATGGAAACTCCAAGCACAACAACAGGAACCCCACACCAGTAAAGAGGAGAGGAATTTAAGGTGGAGAGATGTAAGGTGGCTTACACCTGAAGCAAAGCTCCCCAAAGTGCCATCCCTGCAAGAGGAGGCACCGGGAAAGGAAAGGAGCTGTTGTTTGCTGATCTCGAATAAATGTCAGAAATGCAAACACGCATTTTTGAAGTGTAAAGCAGGAGCAGTTCTCACAAAAGCATCTGTTTGCTGACAAGGCTTGTGACCACAAACGTAGCTTTGTCCTTCCCGAAGGCATGAGTGGAGAGACAAAGGAAGCACGGCGTGAAGGAGCAGGCTGGGTTTATTTTTCCACCAATGACACCACTAACAGGACAAGAGGTTCACAGCACCAGGGCTGGGTGTTAACCTGCTGTCCCGGGGGCTGTCTGCAGCAGGAGGAAGACAAGAAGCAGACTCTCTCCCTTGGTACACTGACATGGCAGAATTACAGTGCAGAGCCCCAAAGGCCTGGCAAAATACAGCCCAGCCAACCCATTAGAAGAAACAAGAGAACCCAAATAACTTCCCCTCTGTTACAAAAAATAGCTACCTTTGTACAGATAAGTATGTCTTCAGAAGAAGAAAAAAAAAAAAATCAAGCAACAACATAAACACCAAAACAGAGGACAGAGAAAGAAGCAGGTGGCATTCCGCATTTCACACGGATCTGAGCAGCTGCTTGGAAGAATAAATCTGTAAAGGCAAAAGTTTTGCCTTGGGCACTGCAAACATTGCAGTACAGAGAAGCACTGAAAGACAGTGTTTAAATCTGTACCACTGATGTGGCAGTGCTCTTGCCAGAAAGGTACATGCAACATATTTGAGGTAGGAGCAAAGCACCAAGCAGATTTTTCCCACAGTGCAGACAAAAAAATTATACATGGAGTAGGACAACAATTAAAAAAAATAAATAAAACTAGAGATATAATCCCCATTTGGATTAAGCAATGAGTCTTCATGTACATCTGCAAAAGACAAGAAAAACTCTCAGCAGCCTGAAATATAAAGGTTTGTTTTTTAAAGGAGCCTTTCCTGAAACAAGGCCATTTTGATGAGACAATTTTCTCATCCCCTAAAGGCATGACAGCAATTCCAGACCTCTACCAAAACAGAAACGTGTTACCAGTGTAAAGGCCAGGGCCAAGAGGAGCATGTGAGGTGCTGTCAGTGCAAGCAGGCATTTACAGTGTTCAGGGGAGTGCCTGTGCTGATTGCATCCCTGCCAGAGGTGTCTGAACACAGCTGGGACAGGATCCACAGTGCTGCAGCTGGCAATCCGTGCTGGACTGCAACCTGAAGCTGCTGGGCAGGAACTTCCCTGCCTTGGCCCCCTGACAGGGCATCCCAATTAAACTCTGAGTCACATCTGTGTTTCTTTCTTCCCTTGGGCTCTTACCGTGTGTTTTGGTGAGCCCTGAGTGTCTTACTTGGTGCTTCAGATGGAAACAGGATCACAGCTGGGCTGTCATCCAAAATTTTCCTCTTCCTGGGGATGCTCTTCCCTCTGCTCCCCACTCCCCTTTAGAGGACTACAGTAAAGAAGGGCTTGCCAGTGGGTATAAAAAGCTGAGGTTTTCACATGCATAACAGGGTAAGTGGAAACATTTGTCCTTTAGTCTCTTGGCTGTGGAAAGCTCTCCTCTGCTCCAACTGTCTGTGTGCCATTGGCACAAAGAGCTGCTTCAGAAATGGAGGAGTCTCTCTCTCTCCCAGAGCTGTGGGAAAGGAGGGAAGGCACTTTCCCATGGTGGTGGGAAGAAGGTTAGGGCAACACAAAGAGCTTCTGGCAGTCTTTCTGGTAAATGGCATTTAACATCACTGTGCAGCCCTTGCCTCAGTACTCTTTGCCAGGTCTGCTCTGGGCACAGGGCTCCCTGGGCTTGGCTCTGTGAGGGTGGACAGGGAACAGCTGGGGAGAGGTTTTGGGTGGGATGCCAGCATGCTTTGCAGGAATCACACTTTCCCTCATACACTTATGACACCTTAAGTCTTGGCGTTTCTCAGAGGCTAAAGGAGAAGCCAGACTGAAAAGTGTCTGACACCAGCAGCGAGCAGCCACTGTGGGCTGGGCAGGGAACCAGACTGGTTCCAGCAGCCCTGGAGAAATAACCAGTCACACATGTCTGTGGTGTGGGCTGGCTGCTCACTGAAGGCCCATGGTGAAGTCCACCTGGCTTACTTCCAGCCAGGAATCACCAAGCTTGGGCTAGCTGGGTGCAGGCTCCAGGGAGCTGTGAAATGAGGCTGGGAAAGCATGGACATGTTCTGCCTGCTTTCCCCCATAAAAAGTGCCTGTGTGGCTCTCATGCAGCCTGGTGGGATGACAAATGCATTGGTGGGCATGTTCTGCCTGCTTTCCCCCATAAAAAAATGCCTGTGTGGCTCTCATGCAGCCTGGTGGGATGACAAATGCATTGTCTGTTGGGAATTCTGTTGCAGGGGAAGTCTGGGGAGCCTGGAGAAGCTGGGCTTGCAGCAGCACCAAATGCTTGCATAAGGAAATTAAACTCCTTTTCCTCCTTTGTGGAGTTCTTACTGAACTCTGGCACCCAGCTGCATCTCTAATACTTCTGATCATGACTTTGGGGTGAATCTGTGAAGGACACAGAGGAGAAGAGCACCAGCCAGAGAGGTTAAAATTAGAAGTCTAGCACCACCACTCTGTGCTTGCCACTGGCCCAGAGGTCACAGTGGCCCTAAAAAATCAGCCTGTGTGAAAACCAGGGGTATCCAGCATTCACTCACCATCTCCTTTGCTTTGCAGCACCTTAAGAATGACGAGGAAGATCTTCACCAACACCAGGGAGAGGTGGAGGCAGCAAAATGTCAACAGTGCCTTTGCCAAGCTGAGGAAGCTCATTCCCACCCACCCACCAGACAAGAAGCTGAGCAAGAACGAGACGCTCCGCTTGGCCATGAGATACATCAACTTCCTCGTCAAGGTCCTGGGAGAGCCAGGCCTGCAGCAGACAGCAGTGGCAGCTCGGGGCAGCATCCTGGGGCTCCTCCAGCAAGCCCCACACTTGCAGAGCATGGAAGAGCTGACACTGATTGAAAACTGTGGCGTCTCCTGTCCCGGCATGAGCAGCAATCTAGCAGAGTGTTGGTCAGAGGCATCATCCCCCTAGCAGACAGTGAGATGTGCAAGTCTTGGTGTTAGTGTGGTAGTCCCCTCTCTCCTGGCAGAATCTGTGGGTTGCTCTTCCATGTATCGTGATTATTTATTTGTATTTATTGCTATTTAATTTGAATTTTTATTTAATAGGACAGGAAATCCTTGGTCGTGCGAAAACCTGGAAGTCCAGAGGGAGAACTTGTGGTCTCTGGGAGCTTGGAAGGACTCGCTGCTGTCGTGGCAGAGTCCAAGCCAGAAGAGCCTTCTGTCCAGATCTCCTCCACAAATCAGGGCATAGGAATTCCTTCAGTGTTTCTGACAGGGAAAGAAATTATTCTCCCATTCTATTTCCAGGAAACTCTATTGAGATGAAGAATTATGACAGCACCACAAAATTTATCCACAACAGATACCTGGCCTTGGTAGTGAAAGATTTAGACAGCTGTGATATTTGACACAGTCCTCCATGAGTTGTTCTAGGGGCTAATTGCACTCTCTCTTGAACTTGAGGATCTTATTTCTAGCTTGATTCTTTTATTTTTTTTTTTTTTTTTAATTTAAGTCCTAGCCCTTGAACCTGGCTACATATTTCTTCATCAGCCTGGAGGGACCCCTTATGTCAGAGCAAAGCACATTAAGCATAATTAAATGCTAGGTTAATGCAAAAAGTGCTAATTCAAAATGGCCAAATACACAGTCATGGATGAGTTTCAGTGGGTTCAATAGGCAAATTAAATCTCCTCCCTAGCAGTGACAGTGTGCACGTGAAGGAAGATGGTCAGCTGTACCCCAGCTGCCTTGAAAATGGGCCAGTGCAGCCAGGACAAAGAAATGGGTGTAAATATCTTCCATTTGTGAGTCACTGCCCTGTATGAACCATCACGCTGCAGGTGTTTACATGATAGGTTGTATGAAAGGGGCCACTGTGCTGCCCACAAAAAAAAATCCAATCTAATTTCCTAACTTATAACTCTATTTCCTGAGTTATAACCTGTGCCAGCCAAGTCCTGGCCTCCTCATGTGACTTACGAGCAGCCCAAAGCAGCAGAGAAAATGACACCAGGTTTAAGCAGAATGGCTTTCTGGTCAGATCCTGCTCCCACTGACACAAGTGTCTCTTTTCATGTGGACCAAGGTACATATCAAGGCTTAGAAGAGACAATTGCTCATGACTGGTGAAGAAATGTAGCTCCTGTAGGCCAAGGCACGTCCTTGGGCTGTTTCTCTTTGTTCATGAGACGAAGAGGTGCTTTCAGAAAGCAGAACTAGGGTTTGTGCATGCAGCATGCACGGCCTTTCTGCACGAGGGGATTTGGCACCTGAAGCTGAGCTGCCTTTCAGAGCCTCGCCAAGCACCAGGTGCACCAAAGAAGCCAGGGCTGGCTCCTGCTGTGGGAATGTTGAGCTGTCCTCAGCACTGACAAAAGCCAAGGTCTGACAAGAACATAGCTCATCCCATCCAGCGCTGGTGCTGGAGGCACAGGCATGCCAGTGGACAGATTTTGACCAAAAGAAAGAAAGAACGAAAAACAAAAAGCTGGAAGCTCATGTTGATTTGGTTTCCTTTCTGAGCACTGCTAACAGTTTGCTCATCCCTGGGTTTGTGAGCTGCCAGGATGGCCCTGGGGAGCAGCTGAGTGGAAAGGCACTGAGAATCCTTTGTTTTTTCCCACCTCTGCCCACCTTAATGTGACTAAATGGAGCCACAGCCTCTTCTGCATGGCACCTCAAAGGTAATGAGCCACATCCTCCTCCCAGCTTTCCTCTGGCTTGCTGGAGTTGCAGCAGGACAAATTAGTCCAAGTAAATCACAGCACTTCCTGCTGAGGCGTGGTGCTGCTGTTGGGTCCATCAGTCACTTGCTATCCTAGGAAACACAAATCACCAAGGCGAGGGAAAACATCTTGTGAGCAGCTGTCACACTGGGAAGGGGAAAGGAAACCTGGCAATTTTGTAACATAACACGCTTGTTGTGTTTTCTGTGCTAAAAACCTTCTCTTCTTGTTATTGCTTCGGTTCATATCACCATTTTCTTTGATCTCCTTTCAGTTTAGGAGCTCCCTACTGTCACATTCAGCAAGTATTTCCCTAGATCTCTCTCTACCAAAGATTTCTTTTTTTTGGTCAACTTTCTTCTTTGTGTTTTGGGGATTTCTTATTTGCGTCATCATGAACAAATACAGTGCAACTGATAACACTTTGTGCCATATGTTATTTAACACCTAATATATTCCAAATAAATTATTTAAGAAACTAATCTTTGTTGCTCCAAACTTCTCCAAAGTTTCATTTTACATTGGTAGAGGATCTCAAATACCTCATGATGTGATTTCCAGCAGAGAATCTTTCTGCTGTCTGTTATGCAAGAGTCTTGGTGGTAGAAACAACATTATCAGATGATGAATAATGACAGGAGTTCTTTGTTTATTACAATTTCTTACCATTTTATTCATATTGTATTTCCATCTATGTGCTAAGAAGATTTTGACCACCCACTGAAAAAGACAAATAACTAAATTTTCATTGCATGATTTTGCTATTTGTCTCTTCCAAACATTCACAATTCAAAAGATTTTAATGAACTTCATTTTAAAAAGCATATGACACTCTAAAGAATTAATTTGGAGTCCATTGTTATCTGGAGATGTTCAGATAGGCACAACCTAAAGACTCAAACAGGAGTCCAGGCTGGGATATAAAAATTAATTCAAAGTTGAGTGGAGCTTAGGATGTATAGCTGCACTTTCTGGCTAACATCTGGTGGGAACAATCCAATCCCCACCCAAATCTGAGGCTGGGAGAAGGTGAGGAAGCACTAGGGTGACAGATGCAGAAGTTGTGAAGGAAGAGATGGGAAATCACTGGATCACAGAGACAATTTCTGTTCCATTCTTGATTAGATGTCTAACACCCCTGAGAGTGTTCTGTGAACACCAGGAGAGGAATTTCTGCACAAAATGTGTGTCAGGAAAGCATAGTCTCAAGAATTATATGCACAAATCAATAAATAAGCAAATGTGAGGTTCAAAATGTATTTATGTGTGATGTCCAGTGTGTACTTATACTAACCAAGGCAATGTCACCCTAGAGAGACCCCTCTGCTTCCAGCAGGTGATGCCAAATTGGTTTAAATGCTGAGGATCATGTGGCAATCCCTCCTGTGGAAGTGTCATGGTACAGCCATGACAAAACAGTGCTGTGAGATAATTGGATCTGTGTCATGGAGATGTTCCAAGTTATTTGGAGCTGGCTGAAAATGTCTCAGATATGTTGTTGCAGTGGCAAAACCTTAGTACAAATGACAAAAATGTCCCTAGTCCTAAGGGATATTATTTCTATCCCCATCTGTAACTAGCAGTGCTGAATAGAGTTGTATGAACAGCATTTTTTTCTACTTCTATAATTATTTTTTTCTGTGAAGCTATGGCTGTCAATACTGCAAGGAAGACCAGCTAAGGTGGTATTTTCTAGAAGCATTCTTGGTATCTCCTGGTATAAAAAGGAGTGCTGGAAAGTTAAAAGAATCATGGTCTGCTCCAACCCATGGTTCTCCTAACCTGCACAGAGGGTGTGAAGTGTGCTCCTGTGAATTTGTGATGCAGAAACTTCATCAGAGTTTTCCTTCACTTGGAATTTCTAACAGGAACAGTGGAACAATACAGCTCCACATTTCAGCTCAAATGAGGATTACTTTCTCCAGAGGCAGAAAACAGGTTCTGTCACTGTTCACCTGTCACAGAGCCTAAGGGAGCTCACACCCATCACGTCCACTTTCTCAACATCCCTGTTGTGGCTGTGGAATGTAATTGAAGGTGGATATTTGGGCTGTGTAAGGAAAGGAATGAGTTGCAAATGTATCTTGAAAGGATGTGCACAAACCCCAGTGAAGGCCAGCCTGTGGTTAGAGGAAGGCCAGGTCTGCAATCTGGGTTTTGGCTTGAGATTCTGTGGGTTCAAATCCTGGTGGATGTGAACGTGCTGTGCCTGGCACTAGACAATGCACAGTGAGATCCCACCTGTGTTTCTGGAGTACTGCCCATGCTGAGGAAGGCACTGTGGTGAGGCTTGCACTCAGCAGCCTTGTTTGCTGTACCTTGCCTGAATCAGGGGGAATGAAGGTACAATGAGCATCACAGAGGGGGACTCACAGGATTCCTGGGACAGCTACGTTAAATGGCAGAGCAGAGTTGTTTCAGGACACTAAGATCCATCCTAGCACCTGCTTCTAAACAAAAAGTAAAGGTGCAGCACCAACGTGCTTCACAGGCATATGATTCATGAACCATTTTGGAACTTATCTTCCAGTGTCTAACCAGTTTCCACAAATTTCTTTGCTGCTAGGGAATGATATGTAGTGACCATGGATAAAGTAGTGTGAGCAAGGCAGATCTGACTTTTGTTCTTTGAAGGCTGGGTGATGAAAGGAGGTGGAGAGAATGGACGACTTAACTACTGACCTGTGGGGCAGGGGTCACTTGGGAGCCAGTCTTAAATCTAAAGGTCATCAACACAGTGACAGAGTCCAAATCCACCACTTTTCAAGGGTGTAATTGTATTTTTAATACAGCAGGTGCTGAGAGAATCAGAGGGGAGAAGGTGGGTGGAAGAAGCAGTTCAAAAAAGTACTTGGGTTACAGAAGGTACAGAGATTGCCCTGTGCCCAGTGAATACTTATATCTGGTTGAATTTATGCACTTTTGTTCTCTCCGTAAACCATGGACAGAATTTTCTTTGCACTTTGAGTTGGTTCTTCTCTGTAAGGAACAGAGCCTCATCCCAATGTATTCTCACTCCCCTCCCTTTCCATATTGTGCACACAAATGCATATCCCATCCCTCTACAGTTTGTTTCACTGCCTGGGATTGCAAACCCAGCAGAGCACGGGAGAGTCTTGCGGCGATCCTCCCATCTGTGAGGACACGAGGCTTGACTCCATTTTCCTCAGAAGGCTGATTTATTATGTTATATAACATATTGAGATACTACATTAAAACTATACTAAAAGAACAGAGAGAGAGAAAGGTGATCAGAAGGCTACAGAGACCAAGAATAGAATAGAATAGAATGCATAACAAAATCCTGTGACTGCTCACAGCCTTGGCACAGGTGGCTGTGATTGGTCACTAATTGAAAACAATCCACATGGGCCAATGGAAGAAGCTCCTGCTGCATCCCACAGCAGCAGAGAGTTATTGTTTACATTTCTTTCCTGAGGCTCTCAGCTCCTCAGGATGGGAAAAATCCCAGCAGAGGATTTCTCATAAAATATCATGGCTACAGGAGAGGACCCTGTGATAAACTTATTTTGGAGAAGAGACACCTCAGAACTGAGAACCAGAAAGAGAGGCTGAGAGCAGCCAGCCTTTCCTGGGTACATCTGTCCTGCTGAGTGTCAGTGTCACAGAACAGCACTGAAGAGGTTCAGGACAAGGGGCAGGAAGAAGTCAGTGGGACTCCTGTGGATCTCAGCATGGACTGCTCTGGGATTCAGATGGAGTCTCTGACTTTTATGCTGGCCAGCAATGCAGAGAGGCACTCACTAGCACAGGGCAGCAGAGGTTTCCCATGCATACACCTTCCTGCTGGGGGCACAGTACCTTAGATCTGGGGAAGGTCCCCCACTTTTTCTAAAATTCCCTACTCTGCACCTTGAAAGACAGACTCTTAGATAGCCTAAAACCTTAATGAAAAGCTAAAGGATGACAGCCTGCAGACAGCAAGTCTCCAGGGAGGTGTTCTGCTTCCAGCCCTGTCTGTAGACATTGATTAGCATTGATTTTCTCTTGGTGACTGTATTTGGCAAACCCTGGCAGACAGCAGTGCTCAGCCCTGCAGCTGAGAAAGGCCAAGAGCAGACAACATTAACTCTGCCTTCAGATCACAGCAGGACTGCCATGCTCTGATACATTGATTTACAACCAGCCAGAACGTAACCGATGGATTCCCTCAGCTCAAGACTTCACAGCACTAAATTCCAGCTTTAAAAAGCTTTACACTTACTGGAAAGACCTGCACTCTCAGGAGGAAACTGCAATGCCTAAAAGCACCTTGAGTGGAGGCTATCAGACCTAGTTAACCACAGGATCTCTGACCAGCTGACCGTGACCTGAAATATTTTACTGCCTGTAGGTTAAAAGACAATTCAGAGGGAAGAATCTGGTCCTGCTGAGAGGCTTTGCAGTGGTCTCTGTGGGACTGAATGGCAAAAAGCCAGCTGCCAGTTGAGAGTTCCCTACAGACAGAGCGAGCTTGGCAGATTGGACTTGCCAAGAGCACTTGGTGCTGGCACAGCCTGCTTGGGTGGGAAATATTCCCACCACTTGAAAGGGAACTGAAATAACTCAGCACCGAAGGGAGCTGCCCGCTCTGGCTCTTCCTCCTGAGCTATGCTGCATTTTCCCCAAATTTCCAGGCACAGAAGAGCAGCCAGCTGCTGTCTGGTGAACATGCCCAGCCACTGTGCTTGGCACAGGACAGCCCAGTCTCAAAGGCCACATTTCTGCATAGATGTGTGGAATGCAAACAGGAGCTCCCCAGATCTCAGGTTTAGAAGTGAGAAAGTCATGGCAGGTAACTTCAGCAGCATAAGTTTACCTGTCAATTTTGAATGGAAAAGCTCAGCAGATACAGAAAACACAAATGAGACGTGTCTGTCTTTATATCTTTCTGTCTATCTATTATCCATTGATCTATGTTACCTTTATCATCTCCTTGAAATCCATTTAAGTTCATTTAAGGTCACATGCAAACAAAAATGAAAAAATTTTGCATTTATAATCAAAATAATTATTTTTTCAGACTAAAGAATAATGTAAGTGAAAAAACCCGAAAACAAGACAGATTGCCAGTGCCTGACATAACCTGGATTGACACTACACTTGTTGTAGGGACATAGACTTCTGTCTCTGACATGGACGCAGACTCCTTTATATGTCAGCTGCAGAAAACAGAGTAACATCACCTTGTTTCTCTTACATCTAACAAGTAATTCAAACTGCCAGTAATTTGGTAATTCTGAAGTAGTGGCTTCCATTAATCTCAAATATGTCCCAAAAGTACAGGCTTCTGAACCAAAACAGACATACACTGATTATGTGTTTCTGGTTATCAAACATGTTTTCTATGTCCCTCAACAGTACGGCTATAAGTTGCTAAAATAAATTTTTTAAATTCAAAGACGTGAAAATACTGCTAAAAGAATAGTA